ATTTTGTATTTTATTTAATAAAATATGAGTTGTGAACTAACTGTCGATTCCCAAGGAGAAATTGAGGATATTTATACATGTTCTTGAATTAAAAATTATTATATATCGAATATACTAAGTCTATTCTATGAGATAATTTTATGTGCAGTATAATTAACAAATCCAATAATAACAGATAAAATTGAAGAAATAAAAGAAATAAAAGAAATTATAGAAATAGTAGTAATTGTAGAAATTGTAGGAATTGTAGAATTCTTGGCGTATGTGTTACACTCACGTTTTCGTACATTATTAGTCACGTGAAGACATTCGTGTTTTACAAATTTTAGATCTAACAGTACTTTGAAGTGTATAAATAAGTTACCTGGGCAATTAATTTGCATCAACCAATCATACGAAAGTCTTTCTACTGTATATGATTTTTCAATAAAATAATAGCATATGATCATATGAAATATTCGAATCAAACATATAGAGGACTATTTGAATATGAAGTTCGCATGAATTTCTTTGATTTTGTTTCAAATTCGCGATTTTTATTGGCTGATTAGCATGTAACATTCATTTCCGTGGTGCAATTTTATTGGTCAGCATGCAGAGCATTACGTAAATAAATGTACGCGACATAGTATACTTTAATGCAATATCGATATGGATTTTTTTAAAACGAACGATGAATGGATATGCGAGGATGCTATAAAGCATTACCAAGAAAATAATCATCTGCTTGATTTTAAGCAAATTCTTGATAAGATCAACAAAGACCTTAAAGAAATTTCAAAATTTGACACTGTTGCGACGCGTAGAGAAAAAGCAAAACTTATAATTTGCAATTGGAAGGTACTGTACGTCTTTAAAAAAGGGAAAGGAAGGAAGAAGGTTAGAGTATGGTCAAGCCGTACACTGCTAGTCGATCGGTCATGAACTGCTAGTTCGTACCTACTTTAATTTGGCAGAAGCTGAACAACTGCTTGTTGTTTGGTCATGAACTGTTTGTTCCTGCAAAGCCGTACACTGCTAGTCGATCGGTGATGAACTGTTTGTTCGATATTCTTCCTCCAACCTTCTAAAAAGATATATAGCATATCGATTTATTTACTAATTTATTTATTTATTTATTGCAAGGAATGGACCAAAAACGCAAAGGAGGATAACAACATGCAAGATCTGATTGCTGAACGTAATGTTCTAGTGGTAGTTGTCTTTAAAAATGCCTCTGTAATAAAGTGTACAAAACACACGTTTTACTTACTTTCTTCTTTTATAGGTACAACAACAGAATGAAATTATAAAGACAGCAGTAGTTCGTGATCAAGTGGTACGAACTGCACTTTCCAGACAACTGGAGAATTTTAAAAGTGAGCGCACTCAAACTTCGAATGATTTGGAAAGATTCACGGATAAAAATTATGAAACCTCCAATGAAAATGGTACATCAAATTTAAAAGAGAAACCACAGCAGTCTATCACTTCTCTTCTGCCAAAAAAAACGTGCATACGACACACTGCAAAGGGTTGAAAAAAATATTACAGATGAAGATTTAATTAATTCAGTGAATGATGCCTCTGACACTTTCGGCCAAGTTGAATTTCCATCGTTTTATAGTAAGCTTAAAACTACATGGGACAATCAAGATATTACAAATTATCATGTTATCGATTTAGGTGATGAAGATACATTGTGTCAGGTTCATGACCTTTTAGATGAGGATGAGTTGAAATTGTTATTTCGGAGGTTGGTGTTGGATGACGAAGAAATACATATAGATGAAAAGACACGTAAATATATAGAGCTGTTTGATCAAATTATAGATGAAGAGAACA